TAAGAAAATCTAAAAAAAAATCAAAAAATATAAGAAAAGAAGTATTTACGACTGATTTAAATTGACACTAAAGAAAGATCTGTATATCACGTTGCACAATTAAGCATCATCCATCTAAACAGTTTTATTGTCCGCTAAAATATTTTATCTTTTAAGTAGGGCTAGAAGAAATTTAGCAAATCAAGACAGGTAAAACTATTATTAGCCTGTATTATGTATTATGTCTATAGCCTTAAATTTCATTTAAGTCTATAGTTTTCTATTAAAGTCTATAGTTCATTTAAGTGGATTTAAATCTCCAATACCATTGAATGTAACATTTTCAGTTTCCTGACTTTCACATTATGCAACGTGAAAACAAATATTCCTATTATTTTGTATTTTCTTCTATAATCATACAACCAATTAATTAGTATTATTTTTAACTATTCTCATTTTTTTCTTCTCTCTTCTCACACTTCCGTCTGCTTTTATACTTTTCTTGAAACTCTTCTGGTAGATAAGAAAAAATTTTCAACTGCTGTTTGATAACAAGAAAGATTGCTGCGTTACGTATTATTATTACAGATACTACAAAACTCTTGCAATTAGAGGGACGAAGAAGGAAAAAGAATAAGAATCGAGACTTCTCGCACAGGACATTTTGCAAGAAATGCTGGACATCGTACGACCTTGACTCGGCGCAGACGATCGGGGTACCGTTGTCTGTCTAGGAAATTTTTTCCCGGTGACCCTGCGCGACGGCTGCGAGAAAGCCCCGTGCGTAAGTAGACAATGACAAAAGATTATTACACTGTGTTCGCGTGGGCGTATCTTCCGTTTGATGCCGGCTACTTTTGTCCTAACGGCCTGGTATAGCCATTAAATGGCGTGCGGTATGTCAACAAATGAACTTCAGCACGAGTCGTCAGTTGCTTCCGCTTTCGTTATCATTTTGCAATAAAAAAAAGAATATTTCTCTTGGATTTTCCCAACTTTCATCCTATATAATTCCCTTTCCCCTTCGCTTCAATGTTACCTGTGATTTCAAATTGTTTGGCGAATATTAAATTCCTGAGAAATACATTCAATCAGAGATCATATCTGCTGCAAAGTTTCCTTTGTATTAAAGTTTACGTTGGCAAAAGCAAGATTTCATTTACCTGATTTACCTGATCCATTAGAATCAACTTCACCTGTTTGTTGTAACAAGTTGAATTAAGTTGAAACGCGTGCATGGTCAAATATTTAATCAAAAATATATGCTTTTGCGTACACTATACTCTGAATCTTTCACTCCGCAGCTGTAGAAGTTGAAGAATGCTGTTAGGAAAGTTAGGCGTGCTAATACATCCTAAGATCGTGGCTTTCTGCGTGGGATGAAAACTCCAGGAGCATAATAGAGTGCGATAAGGTATTCCGCTCGAAGTAAAGTGAAGCATAGGAAGAGCAGATTAGAATGACACATCATTGATGTAAACAGCCGCAGTGATCATTTTAAAGTGACTCATTCCTGATATTATGAGCATGTCTTGCTTGCTTGTTCCTTCTCTCTGCATTTCCATCTTTACACACCTTTTCAAAGAATAACTTTTTAGAATTCCTTGCTCGTCTATTCTTCTTTTATTTTTCCATTTTATTTATACTTCTTTCTGTTTCTAATTGTAAATTGTTCTCTTCTCCATTCTTCTTATTTTTTATCTGTTCTCAGATTATTCTATCTCTCAGGTTGGTGAGGCTGAAATATAGTTTATCTATTCTTAAGTCAATTTTGATTTAAGTTAATCTGTCATTGTTTCTCTATATCTATACGCTTTGAAATAGAAGGAACTTATTTTAAAAGCATTTCTCAGTGCTTAAGCATTTATGGAAAATTTGAGAATATAAAAACAGGGTACAAATAGGATAGAAAAGTATATAAAATATTCAAAGTAAAATGCTCACCATAACATTCAGTGGATAGAAATAAATCTCTATTGAAACTCCAACATTCCATATGTAGATAGCATTCATAAAAACATGAAATTGTAAAAATAACCGTAATCTATTCACTTACAGAAATTTCATGGAAAATCTTTCGCGAGTTAAGTTTAAAATCTTGTCGGGCAAAAAACGAAAGAGGAGAGTTTCTCTTCTGTTGAAGGAAAATGCGTGAAGATACCTAAGAAAATGTCAGAATGCATGCGGTGGTATCGACGACTATGCGCAATTAAGAGATGCGAGCAATCAAGGCATCGAATTATTCAGCATAAAAATGGCTGGTTACATGTTTCCCCAAGTTGTGAATCCGCCCGGGGGGCATCTTCGTCTTTCGACGAAGATACAATCTCTACAATCGTGACGAGAAGAGAATCCGATTATTCAACTAAGAAAGAGAGAGAGAAAAAGAAGAACAATTTTTCTCAATTCTTCTCATTATCGAGATCCTCCTGTTTCGATCTTACACTTGCGATTCTCTGATCTCTGATTCTGTGTGTTGGTGCTTTCTGATCGTGTAACGTGTTTCCCGGGACGATTAAGTTGGTATAACTTGGTCAGTTACGGCCCAAGGCGCTGGGATCACCGTAATTACGTAATCACGAAATTGGCTTGCCTCCTAAGGAACAGAAGGCAAATTGAGGCAAATGGTAAAAGGAATCATGGCTACCACCCACACCAGCCAAGAGATACCGAGCCACGACATTCCTTCTTTCAATCGAATTCTGGCTAACTTTTTCCCCTGGTAATTCAATGCAGTCTTCAGAATACAGAAGGAATGTTGAATCAACTTGTACATAAACTTTAAGCTTGACGTACTATTTAGAGTCTTGATTTCTTGAGAGACGTTGTTTGAGAACTCATTTGCAGCATTGAACGTTTGTTGAATGTTGTTCATGTACAGTATCTGTAGCGGATGCGTATCACTGGCCTTGCAGCTCAGGTCCAATAAACCACAGATATTGCTAGGATTGACCTTTGGCCGGCAACATTCCTGGAAAAACGCAACTTTCCCTGGCACGTATGTTCCATGTGTTCGAGGAAAGTACCAAAAAAAGAAGACAAGCTATATTATTATAAGGACTGAGTAAGGATTTATTTATTCGTTAATAAGTGTCTAGATGAATCTCTCACCCCAGTATATTACCACAGTATCTTAAAATACTTCTTCTTTGTTATTCTAATCAGTGTAAAATGAGGAAGCATTGCAGGATGAAGATTGAACGACGTGAACTTCGGTTCTAAATTTTGCAAAAAGAAGAAAAGAGGTCCGATAACAATGGTATCATTTTCCCTCCTTCTCCCCTCTGTTCATAAATGCCCTCGTTCACATAACTCGATCGAGAAGTATTTCAAAACCGGAAGGTAAAAATAAGATTAATCTTGGTTCAGTGTATCGTCGAGATTTCCGGGTGCTCGTTCTCTCCTCGCGCTCCAACGAAGGGAAGAGCGGAGAGCCTTGCAGCCGCTGCAACCGCAAATAATCGATATCCTTGCTGCGTCTATTCTCTTCCTACCCTACCCGGCCCTTACTCCCTTCGCTTCCTCGCTCTTCCCTATTTTTTCTCCCTCTTTCTGTTTCTGCTCTTCTCTTCTCCCTTTGCACGCCGGCTTCGTTCTCGCATTCTTGTCGCCTGCAATTTTTATCCACCTACGTGCCACTCGCTTTTCGACGCGCAAGCTCTTCAAATAGTGGAAAACCTTTGTCCCACGACGATATTCTTTTTTTTTTTTTTTTTTTTTTTTTTTTTTTTTTTCCAAA